TTTTTTTTTTTACTTTTTAAATTTACCTTGCTAATGATTTTTATATTTTATAGGTTTAAAAAAGAATATTTATTTTTTTAATTTCGTTTACTTTTTAGAAATATATTTTAACTTTAAATTTTTCTTGCATTTCATTTATTTTCTGTTTTAAGTTAAATTTCCTTTTAATTCTTGATTTTGTGATATTGATTTGATACTATTTTTAAACTTCACTAAATTTTTAGAAACGTAATATTTTTTTCCTATTTTTAATTTAATTTATTTTTAATTTTTTAATTTATTTTAGAAAACTTATTTTTAAAGGGAAAACAGAATAACGCTAAGACTTCCTTGTTAGTAGATCTTTCAATTAGCCTTTCAAAAGAACAATTTTACCGTGTATGTTTTGGGCCAATTTTTTGTAGAAGCACTTTTTATCATTAAGTTAATACCCGTTAATCCAGGTCGTAAGTTGAATACCGAATCTCCATTCCATTTTTTGCAACAGTATTTTTTTATGCCGCAGAGCACCCGACATCGTTCGGGGTAAATAAATAAAAATATAAAACAGTAAGAAAAATTTTCAGTTTACCATAAACTAAAGACAACATAAACATATTTTTATTGAATTTAAAGCCTCCCTATGAACAATACTTTTAATTTTATAGTGCGGTGTAGAAGCATAAATAATATTCGGAGATCCCACTCATGAGCATCCGACATATAACTGACCATGGCTAAGCAGGGGTTTGCTAGCTGAAGCTCAGTCACGTTTAATGTTCGGCCCAGCGATTTCAAAGCAAAGCCTCAGAAACTACTGAAGACTTTCAAATCAAAACGAAAGGTATGTGAGAGTAAATGGAACTCCTGGCAAAAACACATCCTCTCCTTTGCCGCATCCAGTAACAATTCCTGCCTCCATTATATTGGTCATAATTTCATTTAGTATCAATATTGTTCCATTATTAAGGTTAGGTGGATCTAGGTAACGAAAGAAGAAGAAGTGTTTGGCGGTTCCAAATTTATGGTTCTCTGAACGTATGCCATCTAACTATGGGAGGTGCTACGGCTTCTTGCAAACTCTCATTCCTCTTTAGTTTGAAACAGGTAACTTCGCTTAGCTGTCTATCCGCAATGGTTATAAGCTTATAGGGCTCGGAATGTACTATGTCTATGGAAGATTTCTCGCCCCCTAGTAAACACTGACCCCCTTTAAGTTCACAATAAATGCCTACTTTCGTAATGTCACCAATGTAAAAATTAGCTGAACCTTGCTTATTCATAGGCCGAGAATAATAGCGCTGAGATATCATATGATATATGCACTAAACTCCTTCGATGCTATGAGCTTTTATTTTCACCTGTGAGATATCTGCAAGTATTGCAAGGTTTGCCGAGAGTGCGTAATCTTCTTCTATAATCCTGCTGTTCCAGAGGATGAAAGAGTTTTCCTGTTCAAACGGGCTCATTGATACTCCAACCGTGTCCTTTGTAATTCTGACTAAAAATTTCACGCACATGGGATGTGGCACGCCCCTTTCAAAAAAGTATATCTACTTGTCTATAAGCAGCTAGTGCCATAAATATGTATGTCAATACACTAAATTTCAAAGTCATGTGACTTACGGTTTCGAAGTTATAGCTGATTTAAAATGGCACGCCTATGAGAGGTGCCACGCCCCCTTGTCAGATTTCATTTTTTTATACCCTATGTTACGTCCGCGGTCACTGCCTATGAAGATCTATTCAGTAGTTTCGGAGATTAGTGAATTCAAACAGACAAACAAACAAACAAACTTTAGTTTTATTATTGTATAGATAGATAGATTTAATTTCGAAGAATTCAAAAGGAGTGTCACTAGCATTTGCTAAAAATGTTATGACCATTATATCGAGCCTTAATCGTCAAAAAAACGCAAGCGACATTTTTTCAAACTTTTCCTAGAGCATCTAGATGCATTTCTGGACCAAGAAGAAAATTTTGAAAAAAAATGTAGCTTGCTTTTTTTTGGCGACCAGGACTCGATATATGTATATACATATATGCGCTAGGCCAGTAGCTAACAAACACTAACTTTTTATATAAATCTTTAAGATTGGAAACACAAATATATTTAATTTTGATTTTATAAAAATCTTGCAAAATATTTATTCATATAAAAAATAATCAATAATCTCAAGTTTTGTTTATATAAAATTAATTTTATATTACTTATAGACATGAAAGAAATCAAGAAAGAGTGTTATCAAAAATTATTTTGTTTTCTTATTAATTTTTCTGATCCTTTTCGGACCAACATGACTGTGTGTAAGAAAAGAAAAGTAAATAGGCGGTGGTGGGATAACTGACGCCGAAATTTGTTCAGTGAAGATAGTCACTGATATAGGCAAATCAGTGGAAAGTTCTCAAAGTTGTATGTACGAAACTAGAGTGGTCAGCAATAGTTCATATAAATATGGTTGTTGTTGCAAATGCCATGGCTGAAGTTGTTGGTGTGGATTTGTCTTTTTATATTTTAATATGGACTCCTTAGGATGCCAATTATAGTCTTAACTGATAAGTAAGTTAGTAAATAATATGAAATATATACATAGATATATATAGTACACACACATAGTACAATGCATTGAATAAAGTATATTATTTAATACAAAAATCATAGATATGCTATTAACAATACATTTAGCGGGACAGGTATGGGTTGCGGTAGAGGATAAGGGTTTACATAGATGGGAATGCAAATAAAAAGGAGCAAGACTATATTATTAGTACAGTTTCATCCTTCGTTTGGCATCAGCGTTGTCGAATTGCGCAGAATCATTGTAATCTTTGTGTGGTGATGAGATAATGCCGTCTGAGATGCTTACCACGTGCCAGGAGCGGGAGCCACATTCAGTGAAGTCGCTGAGTTAATATGTCCAGCCAATGGGGCGGTATGGATAGCCCCGCGTGTCTTCGCCACGTAAACACCAGCACCGAGACCCAAGGCAAGAGGAGAAGCAAGAGGTGCAGCAATGCCAGCGCCCAAGTTGCCTTTGCTGAGCGAGATGCCGGGAATGCCACCCAATAGACCGGGCACACCACCCAACAAACCGGGAACACCCAAGACATTAATGGCAGCTGGCGCACCCCAAGGGCCGAGACCCAACGCACCTGGGCCGAGACCCAACGCTNCCGGGCACACCACCCAACAAACCGGGAACACCCAAGACATTAATGGCAGCAGGCGCACCCCAAGGGCCGAGACCCAACGCACCTGGGCCGAGACCCAACGCACCTGGGCCGAGACCCAACGCACCTGGGCCGAGTAAAGAACCCAGTGCTGGTGTCACATACGATACGCCAGGTGAAATTTGCGCCGAGAGAAGTGATGAGTGTACACCAACAACGGCAAGAGCCAACATGACTACGGCAAGGGCGAACTGGAAAAAAAGAATAGATTAAGAAAACGAGTAGAAAATTAATTCTGCGGAAGTATAAGAGAATAATTAAGCTGCTAAAATATTTTGATTTTGCTTTTAAACAATCTTTATCAGGTTGACACTTGTAGCGGGAAAATTTTCAAGAATTATTTAATCTTAATTTTATTCGTTTTTATGTCATATCTTACAGTGACTCAAACAAGCGTTCACAAGATGATTTTTTTTT